TTGCGGGCCAGGCCAGCCTCTGGCTTCTTTACTGTTCCTTCCATCCAGGACCAACTGCAGGTACTTCGTCAGCCTGACAAAGGGGTTTTCAACCCTAAAGCTGGCATCCTGGGCAGCTAAGCTGAGCTCACCGGGAGCCTCACAACTACACTGCAACCAGCAAGCGTCAGGCCTATAAAAGGCGTGACAGGTCTGGGCGTTCACCAGCCAGGACTTTGTGTGTGTGTGCGTTAACTGGAGGTCATGGTCTCTAATCCTTGCCTTTCACCAGGGGATCTTTGGTCCAACTGGCCCGCAACGCAGGCAAGAAAGCCAGTCAATGAGAATGGAATTGGAGCTGTCAGGGTGAGAGAGACAAGCTGAGGTGGGGGGTAGCATGGGAAAGTGGATCCCCCTCTTCCACATCCCCTCGCCACTGCACGTTATCCTCCCTGACTTTGTTCACCAGCACCTGCGTCCAGTGATCATGGGTTTTGGGGCTGCCAGTGCACATGTTCCCCTTCACCCTCGGGAGTCCATGATTTTCTGTACCTACTACCTAGGAGGCTGATGAAGTACGGTTCATAGGCCCAGCTCTGCAAAGTGGTTTGTACTTTCAAACAAGCACCTAACCTCATCACCAGAACTGAAGCCAACTTCAGTTTTCACCCCGCTGTGTTGTAACGCCGAGATGTGACATGAGTTTTGCTTTCAAGAATTTGGGGTGCTGTTCCCCCCAAATCCCAGCACCGATCTTCTTGAAACTTGGCAGGCTTCATCCTCTCTGCAGAGTTTACCACCCCTCAAAACTTTATTATCTCCCCATTATACACTATGGCCAGATCTCCAATGCGACTCCGAAGCTCTTTGGAAGCTCCGAACTGCTTCGGGAAGCCTAACGAGGCAGCGCTTCGACCCGGATGTGCTGCTTCAGACCCCGAAGTGTCTGAAGCTTCTCTGGATGCAGAGCTCTGTCCGAAGCCTCGCACAGCTCTACAACATATATATGTATAAAACTCTTTAAGAAATATATCATTACGGATATAGATACAAATATACATATAACGGTCTCTAAACTGGAGGAGGTTGGCCCTAGGGAGGACATTCGGGTAAGTGCCCGTGCCTCAGGCCCAGAGGAAAGACCGTGCTGGGCTTTCATTTACACCGGAGACCCCGCCCTGAAGTCCGCCGAACCTGCAAAGCGCAGTCTTCAATCAGGTCCAGGAGCTGCTCGCATCCTCGCACCTCAGAGCAGGGGCAGGGCAAACCCCTCCCAGCTCTTACCTGATTGTTGGAAATTTTCCACCAACCTGAAGTGTCCTTCTCCAAGCCGTGCCTGCAGAGAGCCCGCCACATGAGGAACAGCATGAACTGCAGAAATGAGTGCACAGCGGGGAACGGGCCCCATCATCCCTGCACGGGTGACACTGAGCACTAGGAGCCGGCCGTGCACAGGTCCCTGACGCTGCTCACGTGGTGGGAGCCTCGGGGGAGCAAGCAGCTCCTGGGACAGGGACCCTGTGGGCCATGGGGCTTCTTGCACCCTAACCGTTGCTAGACAGGCAGCGAGTAGCTGTCTGCGCTGGTGTTGGCTCCTACGGGGCCCTCCCATCTTTTCTCTGCCCCTGCATCTCCAGAGTGGGGCCCAAGCACATAGGGGAGGGCGAGGAAGAAGTGCTGTCGCTCTCTCCCCTGCCCTTGCCGAGGTCCCGCTCCACAGCCCCTGCTCTGCCCACCTCCTTGCGAGCGCACTGTGCTCTGCCCCAGGGACCCCGCATGAGGTGGCCATTCAGGGGGGTCCCTGACACTCCCAGGCCCAGACCCCCATGGCCAGCAGTCTCCTCGCCCTCCATCCCTAGAGCTTCTGATCTCAAAGAGCAGAGGAATGGTTACAAGCTGCACCCCCCGCCGCCCCGTACCCCCTTAGCGGCACCTTTG